CTGTGTTAGCCTTCCGACTGCCAATTTCAGCCTGTATTAGCCTTCCGACTGCTAATCTTTGGCTGTGTTATCCTCTTGATTGCCAATCTCAGCCTGTATTAGCCTTCCGACTGCCAATATCAGCCTGTGTTAGCCTTCTGATTGCCAATATCAGCCTGTGTTAGCCTTCTGACTGCTAATCTTGGGCTGTGTTATCCTCTCGATTGCCAATTTCAGCCTGTGTTATCCTTCCGACTGTCAATTGTATAGTCAATAGCCCAAATATGTAGCCTTCTGAATTCCCATCTTAGTTAACATAATCAGAAAATGATGTGTTCATTCTATATTAACAGGAGATATTTTGGCGTATTCCTGGTGAATTGACCCCTGACGACCTCAAAGATCTGGCAGATTCGATTGAAAGTATGGGTGATGAAGACGAAAGGAGAGTTAAGAAGCTGAGTGATAGAAGCAAAAAACTTGCAGAGCTAGCTAAAGCTCGGGAAATGGAAAGAAAATCTGGAGATGGTGGGAAACGGAAAAAGAGATTGTCAGAGAAGAAAGCGAGGGCAGCAATTCTGGGTGAAGAACGTGTCAATCAGAAACCCAAAAAACAAAGAAGAGTTAAGAGAGACGTTGTGGAGTCTTCTGAAGATGAAAGGTATTTGATTAACAATTTTAAACAGAAAAACAGTAGAACAGTGTATTGTTTTTGTTTTTTACTATCGGTATTAAAAAAAAATATCCGGTATTTTATTTAAAGTAGGTGGTCTTTTTGACTGTTTGCTGGCTAATTTCTACACCACAGTAATAGCCAAAATAAATGGGGGGGGGGGGGGAACTTTTAATCCACTATTTTTCCCCATCAAAATGTTAATACAAATTTCTATGTATTTTTCCATAATATCATCAGAGTAATGGATTATAGCAGTCATGAAGATGATGTTTCCATCGATAAAGAGAATAACAGAAGCAATAAAAAAAATGAACAGAAGAAGAAATCCATGTCAGCCGAGGAAGCGCGGAAGATCTTGACGGATGATGAAAGTGATGACGAATCATTCACCAAACGGAATTCCAGTAGCGACGACAGCGATGATGAACCATTGATTTCAAAGTTAAACACTAATAAACCTGAAACAGGAGATACACATCATATAAAAATGTCACTCCATGATACGGATGATGATGATGAGGAAACAGGTTGGTCATAAAATATCATTTAACACTGTATGTACACGTTTGTACGCCATCATAATAAATGAGTGAAAATCATATAAATTCACTACGTTCAATTACCCACCATAGACTTCGGTGTCAAAATGACTATTTTGAACTGTAGGCATTAATCAGTGATTCTGCCAGTGACGGAGAGATAAAATCTAGGTCAGGGGAAGCCCCATGACCCCAAGATTCTTTTTCCTTACATCACGAACCACGTGACCGAGGTAATGTGACGACGCCATCTTACCCTGATATTCACTCTTTTCTTTATCTCCACACCGACTAAAGGTCGCCAATTGGAATGATTTTATTGCATTCATGAAGAACAAATTTTGTGAAAGTCACTTTTGTTAGGACACCAGAGATATTTTCACTGCGACAAAATTTTGGGATTCTTACCGACTATAAAGTATATTATAATTCATATATGAAACATCACACCTCCAATGATGATATAAAGTATTAAACAAAGATTTCTTGGCCTCACTTTTCCACTCATTTTATTTTGGGCATACTGGGGGGTCTTATCCTTTTGACAACTACCGGTACCTCCAACATAGCCTTCAAAGACAAACAAGACCTCCTAACTTGGTGTTTATTTTGGTAACAAATTTAAGAGGCTTTATATTTCATAATCTGTAGTTAAATCATGCAGATTTTCAAAGTGGGAATGGACCTCGATGCAATGTCTCAAGATTTCTGCTTTCCCTTAACATTACATAAATTGAATGAATAGACAACACAAAACTTGTGACAAATGTTTGTTTTTCGTAACAACTTTTTTTACATCATCACAACCGACTTGGCGGTTGTTAGATTAATTATAGTTAATCATTCGAATTGATTTTTCAAATTGGTAATTTGTTTTCTCTTAATAATTGTTTTATTCACAGATTCAATAGTCGTAAAAAAGACACGAGGGAAGAGGCCGTATTCTATGTTATCTGACTCCGAATCTGATGTTGAAGACAGCATACCATTAAAAAGGATTGTTAGGAGGAAGATTGAATCCGATAGTGATGACGAATAGGAAATTACTCCAAATAGTGTTGTGTACATATGTATTTTAATCTAGCGTTCTAACAATGACTGCTTTGCTGATAGATTACTCGTTTAATAATTCTATATTTACAAAATAATGATTGTTCAATTAAAATATTTTAAACATAAAAAAATAAAACTGTATTTTT